TATATCGATGTAGCAGGCCATTTCTTTCCCGGTCTAAACTTTCCCCAGGGAAGTTTTGTCCTAGGATATTCTAAACTCGGGGAAAGTTTGGGCTAGGTAAAGTTTCCCCACCTCAGGCCAAAGTTGGCCCTGTTTAAACTAGGATATTTTGTTCTGTTTTCTATGAAATTGGGGAAGTTCTGGCCTAGCTGGGCCACTTCTTCCCCACCCTTGCTCTTATAACAAAAGAGGGGGTTTCTGGCCTAGCTAGGGTACTTCTTCCCCACCCTTGTTTTTATATCAAAATATCACTTTAATATTAACAATGTTTTTATATCACTTTATCTGACATCTTTGAAGAAAGGGCAAGGTTCAATGTAAGAGATGTTAACCTACTTGCACCAGGTGCAACGTAAGATAACAACCTAGTTGCACCAGCAAAATTCCAGTTGCATTGCTTCTATTGTATGTGATGAAAGAAATATGCTATTGAATTATTTAGATGTTAAATTCAGAAGTTTCCCCTCTCAAAAATTGACATGCACCTAGTGCAATTTAGACTAATAACTAGGCTGCACTTTGTAGTATTATGCTATTGAATTATTTGCACCAGTGCAAGTAACAAAGCACGAAACTGAGCCCTGCAGGGTGTTATTTCTGTATCCAGTATTTGTAAGAAGGAGAAACATGAATATCCTGTACACTTCGTCTCCAATTGAAGACTCTTTTGACACCATCCAGAGAGCCCATATTACAATTGGTCATGGTGGTAGAGACAGGGTGCTTAAGCGCCTATTCTTTCAAATTGTGCACAGCTGAAAGTTGTAAGGAGTATTGCATTAGGAATAGTAAAGGAGTCTCTTTGAAATTCTGAATTTTAAAAACAAATTGAACCTCATCTGCACTTATTTTTATTACATGAACAAAGGAGTTGGCGTATACGTGTATGACTGTGAACATTTTACAAACTCTGTGAACTGTAAAACATTTGTCTACAAGTATTTTTTCCGTGATTCTGAATTCTGACATAAATTACACTGAATTATTTGTGAAAGCATTGGTGTAGAAACATAACTTCCCAAAAGAAACTTCAGTTTCAAATTTATACACAATAGATCAAAGTATACTGAATATCTTTGATGTCTTAAGGCATAGATGCTGAAAGGTTATTAGAACAGCCTTTTAAGTTTGTGTGAATGTAATACAAGTTCTGCTGTACAACAAATAAAGTTTCAGTCATTTTATCTATCATATCTGTTCTGTTTTTAAATATTGTAAAGTATCGGGATGCGTATTGCATCGCCACCATTGTATTGTGATGATAATAATCTCAGAAGTTGGTGGCCAACATTTTCATGATATATATTCTCGCCTTATTAAACTGGTATAGGGATATATCGTCTTGCCTTTGTGAAAATTAGTGTGCCCATCCGTTTTGGTGATCCAGACTTGAATCATCACAACGGCTGTGTTACTTCTATTTCTGACCCATGAAGATCTGGGTTAAAATTGGCCTTCAGTAACCCATGCTTGTCGTACGAGGCGACTAACGGGATCGGCTGGTCAGGCTGGCTGACTTGGTTGACACATGTCATGAGTTCCCAATTGGGCAGATAGATGCTCATGTTGTTGATCACTGGATGGTCTGGTCCAGACTCGATTAATTACAGACTGCCGCCATATAGCTGGAATATTGCTGAGTGCGGCGTAAAACTCAACTCACTCACTCATTTCTATTTCTTTATTATATCAGTAAACATCTACACAGTTGGGATACAATGACGTGTCAACCAAGTCAGCGAGCTTGACCATCCAATTCCATTAGTTGCCTCTTACGACAAGCATGGAGTGATAGACTTTAGTTTTACGCCACACTCAGCAATATTCCAGCTATATGGCGGCAGTCTGTAAATAATCGAGTCTGGACCAGATAATCCAGTGATCAACAACATGAGCATCGATCTGCGCAATTGGGAACCGATGACATGCGTCAACCAAGTCAACGAGCCTGACCACCCGACGCATCGTTAACGAGCCTGACCACGACAAGCATGGGTTACTGAAGATCAATTCTAGCCCAGATCTTCACAGGTCGAGTATTACCTGTAAGTTGTATGAGTTTTGGTGTGCCGCCAGTGCATTGTGAAAATTACTTCATGCCATTTCAATATTTACTGCATCATATCATCCAAATCAAGCACTATTTCCATCACTGTATAGAGTTTCTTTCCAACAGTGACATGTCACCTGGTGCATTCCTACTGGTTTGCATTAAAAGATTACACAAATACACATTAACAATTATTCCGGTGATGACAGCATCACTGTGAGAGAAAATATTAATAGAACCAAAGAGCTGCCCAAAATGCAATTTCAAATACTGATCTTACTTCACCCACAAACTAACACACCACACTTTATCGAGTGATTAAAACCATGTGACAATGTGCTTTAAGGCACATGGGGCAATTTTGCAATACTTAGAGAGGCTTATCTTGAACATCACGATACTTAGTCAATAAACTACATTTATACGATGACAAGAAGATGTGTTGCAGAAGTTTTGAAAAAATCGAAAAGCAAAGTAATCACTATTCCAAACCATTTGCCATATATGCATAAAAATTACAAAAATTAGTCATTTCCACAAATACTTTTCCCAGAAATGATTAGTAATGTGGCACTGGTTGAGCCTAATATTTCTGGTAGATTCAAACGGTAAATTGAGAGATTGCTAAAAGATCAGCATAAATCTGCATACGTTTGGTTCATGTACCAAAATAATACTTTTCACCACAATACTTGCGATATGTATTGCAATATATTGCAAGAAGTTCTTTTTTAACAAAAAACTACTTATAATCGAGTCAATGCTTGATTTATACAGCAAAGACACAAAAAAAATCACTATGCTTGATTAACCTTTAATAAAAACTTTTAATCATGACAAAATAAAAATGTAAGTAATCTAATAATAGTAATATTATTATAATTTGGCACAAATAAAAAAGGAAAGGAAGAATTAAAAAAAACGGAAATATCCAAAGATTTCTGGTGTTACGAAGTTTTCCGAAAGCATGTTAAAATACCGGTTTTCAACCAGCATATCGCAATACGTATTGTTTTCATGTCTGAACCGGGAAATACTGGTAAAGCCGGTTATATTGCGCAGCCGTAATGAATGAGGGATGAAGCATTCATATTGGCAGATAGCTTGTTGACAATAGGCAAAATGAGATCCAAAAAGAACAATAAGTGACCATTGAAATATTTGGTTCTTACCTTGAGCATAATTAGTAAAGCGAAGTAAGATCAGTATATGAAATTGCAAAATACCTGGAGCTTTGATACCTCTTGCGCGAACCAATCAGAACATAAATAATCTAAAGTGTAAGTGTGGAATGGAGATTATCCAACAATGACTTAATTTAGGGGTTTCAAATTCCAAATGTTCCTGTTCTGATTGAAATGCAATTTGCAGGCATCAAATCTGTTATAAACCTCTAGAATGAAAAACACAGCAGGTGTTAAACAGTGTTCAATCCATAGGCATATAACCCAGACATCACTTTATCTTGACAGATAAAGCAGAATACCTTTGTTCTCCTGAACTCTTAAGATTAAGACAAGTATTCCCCACATTATCTTATCTTACAAATAAGTATGGATTAAAACTGACTCACCTGCTACAAACAAGGGCAGTCATCAAACTACAATTTTCAAAAAATGATAAAAATAATTCAATAGCAAAAGTATAATTCAGTGTTGAACTGGTTAACATAGGTAAATTGTGGATATACATGTATTAAAATATGGTCATCTTTGTAGATTTGAGGCCAACCAGTGTTGTAGCAATCAGAGATGCTTACATAACCTATTGACAATAATCTCTGTACACCTATGTATCAGTAAAGATAAAACATGCCACACACAAGACTGACAGAAGTGGGAGACGTTGACTAATTGTGGCTCCCTAGTCTCTGACAAACAACAGCAATGACACATTTGTCTTCAAGTTGACTCAAGCACCACCATTCAGTGCAGTGCAACCTTAGTATAATGCTTAGTCTCTGAATATTAATAATTTTGTTCGAAACAAATAGTTCCTTTTAAATTGATAAGAAGACCCAGTGCGATGGGTGATTGAGAACATCTAGACTTGCTTCATTTAGGGCTTTAGCATTGCAGGAAGGGCTTGGCGAAAGGGGAAATAATGTGGTTCAGGGACTGTGAGACTACACAACAATGTTCAATTTCAGATATTTAATAGTAATGTCCAAAACTATATTTTCATATTACTCACAGCATCAAAAGTAGTCTTTTAATTTGGCTATTACATATCAAGGACCTCTAAAAAACAGAATGTTCATGTTTGATAAGATCGCGAATACATCCCAACAATCTTCATCCTACAAAATCACACCAAACATGTTACTAAAAGGCTTAAATACTAGTAATTTTGGGAGTACTGCACTTTACCGGGCGCACTTTTTCAGATTAATTAGCGCTGCTGGGGTTCCCTAACCCTAACCCTTACCCCTAACCCTAAGGATCGTAAAGGGTACCTAACCCTAAGGATCGTAAAGGGTGCCTAACCCCAAGGATAGTAAAGGGTGCCTAACCCTAAACCCTAACCCTAAGGATCGTAAAGGGTGCCTAACCCTAAACCCTAAGGATCGTAAAGGGTGCCTAACCCTAAACCCTAACCCTAAGGATCGTAAAGGAAGCAGTGAGGGCTGCGCCCGGTAAAGTGCATTCTAGCCGTAATTTTTATGTTTTAGCAAAACAGCACTATGACAAATACTTGCTTGTAGTTGTAATACATCCGGTATTGTTTCTCATACTACTTAGATTTTCGTCTTTTTTTTTAAAATACACACCCACTTCTTCTGACAATGGAAAATACCTGAAAATATTACAAAATTCGCCATGACAACCTTGTCTGTTATCAGTTACCAATTAGATTCAATGTCTTAACTTCTAGAACTGATTCTACTGATACTGAAAGTACGGAGCCCTACCGGTGTGACTGTGAGAATGTTCATCTGCCCAGTTCACAGACTGCTCGGGTCCCTTCACGTTGTCCATCTCGCCATGACTGTGGGGGCTGTCGGGAATGAAACCTCCAGCGTATGAAACCTTCTGTCTTTGGGGAAACTTCAGCCGGGTAGATGTTGATATGGTAAACATGTACGTTATGGCAAATCCAAACAGTAATCCAACCACGAAAGTGACGATACCTCGGCGCGTTACAGCCATGTTTACCAAAGGGACATAACTCTAACTCGAAGTGCCAAGACTTAGTATCGATTCCATTCATTGTGGGTTTATAAATAGAGAAGCTTACGTAAAATTGTATAAGCATCCGGCTGATCCATTGGTCCACGTCCCAAACGAGAAGTTTATTGGTGCTCTGCTTCCCGTTCTGCAAGAAAGCGCCCTTTTCTATATATTTTCATTAAACCATGTAATATAAAAACATTCATGAAAAAGTATACATGTTGTGCATGATTATTCAGATAATTATATCAGTTGCACATTTATAAAGTGAGTGAGTATGGTTTTACGCCGCTTTAGCAATTTTTCAGCGATATCACCATGATCACGGCGGTGGAAAACAAAATTGGGCTTCATTCATTGTACCCATGTGGCAAATCGAACCCGGGTTTCTGAAGAGACGAACGGACGCTTTAACCATTATTGTAACAAACACACACACACACACACACACACACACACACATGATAAAATACCTTATTTGCGTTGATTTTCTGATAAAGATCTCAATCTGTTACCAACGTTTAGATAGACAGGTTATATCTATCAGAAGGGTAGACTAGAAATAGTCTCTGTGTCCGATATAAATTGTGAAAAATGGATATAAAAGCAACAACCAAGGATGTTTCATTTAAAAGACGTTTGTTCCGCATGATAACTCAGATTCTTGTTTTATAAATATTGAATTATTAATTTTTAAGAACATTTCAAGTTATTATTGTGTTGTTGTTTACTTGTTTAAGTTACGCGGGGCATTTCAGGACATATATAGACGCCAGAAGACTGGGAAAGGTAAATGAACGCGTGGGTGCGTGCGTGCGTTTGTGCGTGCATTTGCCTGTCGAATATGACCTAGTCACTCTGCTGTCTGCAAAAATAGCAGCACCAAAAGCAACATCGGTAAATGCTCTAAAAAATGACATTTCTTTCCGTGGTTCGAATTAGTGGTGGTCCGATTAATTGAAATAGTCGAAGATTGGTCGCAGTGACTAAACGACCAAGCAATCGATCATGTTTTCTCATAATCAAACACAAACAATTCTGGAACACTTGTTTTCATTAACAGTATGTTTCACTAGGTTGGTTTAGTCTGTTATATTTCATAAGCACTACAAGCTCGTGATTGAATATATCTTAAAGACTCTAAGAAATTTATGTTCCTAACATACTAGATCTAGTCATCCTTTAAAGATGTGTAATTATGCCCCAAAAAACCCAAAGAACTACATGTTTTCTTCCTTATTTTTTGTGCATTAACAAATTTAATAAATGACGCTAACCAATTATTTTCGATGATTGATCGGTTGTAATGAACCAATCATCAATTATGAGATTGTAACCAATTCCCAACACTAGTTCGAATGACATTGGTCACATTGTCACATGTTGCGTATGTACAAGTGAAGCAATATTTAGCTTTACGTTTGACCACGTGATTCGTGCAGTACACGTGTATAGCCTTTTGATGTCCGTTTCGTAAATAAAGTGGACGTCACTTTTATAGTAGAAAGTAGGCATCCCACCTTGTCTGACTGTAGCCTACATAATTGTTTAACCTTTATATCGAATGACATGACTACATTCAAGTCATATTCCAGCTACATGACAGCGCGCTATAAATAGTCAAATCTAGACTAGACAATCCAATGATCGACGTGATCATTACCATGACACAGTAAACATTTGTGTTATTGTGAACCCACCATATTCTAAGGCTGCTCTGTCGAAGGATAACATGTGATCTGAGGTACGTTTTGTTTTAGCGACATTTACAATATCGTTCAGGCACAAAGAAAGCATGAAAATCACGGGAAAATATATTAAATTCAAATTTATGTTCAAGTAGTCATGACTTCGGATTGGTCAGGTATCATTCTCCACAAAGGGCATACAATTCAAAGGGATTTCATCAAATCAAATAGAAAGCTATGAGTGAGTGAGTCAGTGAGTTTAGTTTTACGCCGCACTCAGCAGTATTCCAGCTATATGGCGGCGGTCTGTAAATAATCGAGTCTGGACCAGACAAGCCAGTCATCAACAGCATAAGCATCGATCTACGCGAACAGGGAACCGATGACATGTGTCAACCAAGTCAGCGAGCCTGACTACCCGATCCCCTTAGTCGCCTCTTACGACAAGCATGGGTTACTGAAGATCAATATTCTAACCCGGACCTTCACGGGTTGAAAGCTTCGAGGTAATTCTGGGTTAATGTAGAACAGTCTATCAGTGGACATTGATTACGAGTCCTTCAAAAAGGTTCACTGTCAACCTTAGATTCGCAGTTGCTTTGGACTTATTTAAGTGATTTGGGGCGGTGGGATAGTCCAGTGGTTAAAGCGTTCGTTCGTCAAGCCCACCCGGGTTCGATTCCCCACATGGGTACAATGTGTGAAGCCCATTTCTGGTATCCCCCGCCGTGATATTGCTGGAATTTTGCTAAAAGCGGCATAAAACCACACTCATTCACACTGTACTAAGTGTATACACACCGGTTGGTTGACACATGTCATCGGTTCCCTGTTCGCGTAGATCGATGCCCATGCTGTTGATCACTGGCTTGTCTGGTCCGGACTCGATTATTTACACACCGCCGCCATATAGTTGGAGTATTGCTGAGTGTAGCGTTTAGTAGCAAACGAACAAAACTGAACCTCGTTCATTGTGATATTCACAGGTGATAACAGTCATGGTTTCTAGTGTAGACACAGTCATGAAAGCTTTCTCTTTGTCATTTTGTCACTGTAAGCATTAATTGTTTACAAATCTGCCACTGAACATGAAGAACAGACCGGTTATGGTTGAATGTAGGTTTGGGTGTGTAGTGTAGACACATGTCGTCTTTCATGATAACAGTCATGGTTTCTAAAGCTTTCTCTTTGTCATTTTGTCAAAACAGCAACATAAAGACATTTGTTCAGATTTATTTGAAGCACTGTGTGATATCAAGCGACATACAATAATAACAATAAACATTTATAAAGAGACATGACACTTCCTTAACTTGCACACTGACAAGTCAAACTGGCTTCTAAAATACATTCATTGCCTGTAAACATTATGCTTAATATCTAACAGCGCAAGAGGTCAAAAGTATCGTAGGCACTTTCGTAGGGTGCAAATCTTAACAGGATCATGGGCATTTTGTATATTCCCTGATTTAAGTTAAAGTAGAATATCTAACTCTTCACAGTGTTGTCAAGACATATGAAATATCACCAGCTTATTATCATGACCATCAGCACAGCCATGTACAGGTCAGCTTCGTGTACTTAACCCTATGGATTAACTTTGTGGATGAGATGCTGCTGGCCACTGATGTACCGTAATACGATACAGGGCTGCCAAACAGTCAGTAGTATATACCTTACGGTATGTTCAAGTCTTGTTGTAAGAGTCTTAAGTTTTAACAACAAGCAAACAAACGACACAAATCACTTGGATACCTGGTGATAGTCACAAGCAAAGAAATAATACTGATGCTAGACACCAACAATACTGAGTGAGTGAGTGAGTGAGTTTTACGCCGCTTTTAGCAATATTCCAGCAACATCACGGCGGGGGACATCAGAAATGGGATTCACATATTGTACATTAGTGGGAAATCGAACCCGGGTCTTGCCCGTGACGAGCGAACGTTTTCACCACTAGGCTACCACACCGCCCCAACAATACTGAGACTACCTGGATGACGAGTTTCAATATGACTGCCTCGTGAAACTTTCGATGTGGCTGGGTAGCTTAGTGGTTAAAGCGTATGCTTGTCCCGAAGACCCGGGTTCGATTCCCCACAACATGTGAAGCCCAGTTCTGGTGTCCCCCGCGGAGATACTGCTGGAATATTGCGTAAAACTAAACCCATTCACTCACTCACTCGCATGACGAACGCAAAAGCTACATGGCTACCCTACCACCCCAACTAAGTGAGTATGGTTTTACGCCTCTTTTAGCAATACTTTCTTCAGTATTACAGCTGGGGACACCAGAAATGTACATGGGGTTCATACGTTGTACTCAAAATGGGAATTAAACCTGAACCTTTGGTTTGACCAGCGAACACTTTCACCTCCAGGCTACCCCACCACACCCCATGACACTAAGAATCAGAGGCTGAAAATCACATCAAAGATATGTCATTGCATATCATACAAAATTGTCCCATTTTACATGTTACATATTGTGCAAAGCAATGCATGTCAAATGTGTTAAAACAGATATCAGTTTGACAAACAAAAATTCTGTCACAAATGTTTCAATATTCCTGGACCATCATGCACTGCAATTGACTTTGTTACAATTCATAAGCACCATGTTTCAATTCCTAACATACTGATAAAAACTATTCCCTCATGTAACTTGTTAGTTAAAAAGCCTAAAATATTTTGTCTTCACAACTCACTACTGAATTCTTTGAGAAAGAAAAGGATTAGTGCTTTAAAATAAGGTGCTCAAGTTGGGCTAGGTCAAAATGTTCTTGAAAAACAGAAAATGGTAAATATTCCAGACCGATCAGTTTGGATTTTCTGATCATGAGATCATTGCCAAATTCCAACACAAGCAAGCACTTCACCTAAACTTGTCTAGACAAGGGACGAGTAGGTACCTAAAGAGACTGGTTGTTGTCTACATAGCTATAGCTAGATCACATAAACCACAGTTACAAAAAAGCTGCCGACCAGTCAAAATGCCAGCTCCCTTTTTATCCTCTGGATTTGGGGATTTTTTTTAATTTTGAGGGTATTATGGACTCGGCCAAAGAAATCAAATTACAGAGCTCCAGATAAGATTTAGCTCATGTGGGTACTGTACCCATTGTATTTTTTTGGAGTGGGTATTATGAATGTTGAGTGGGTATTTCATTTTCTGTTACCCACTGCTTTCACATATGTGGGTATTTCAGTCACTTTACTCACCTAAGTATTATGTCATTGAGTAAGTTTACTAAGCAGGTATGTTCTGCCTTATGTCATACCTAATCAAAACCAACTTAAATATAATGGAAATGATTTCATAAAAAATCACTCATCCTGTACTGACAGTACAACACTAGTCCTATTCTAACAGTACAACTTGATAGCAATCGATGTCTTTTTCATTATGCAAGCGATTTTTATAAATATATTCCGTATGCATTTGTCATAAACTTTTTGCGTATCTAACATTTTAAATGCGTAATTGGTATGCAACAATCATTTTTCAATGCGTAATTGGAAATTTTCTATGCATATTTTACCCAGATATGCAGCTTATCTGGGCCTCTGAAATTAATATGCAAATATAAAACAAAGAAACAATTATTGGTGTACATGAAATTCCTTCCTATACAGGGGCGGATACAACTTTTGTCCACAGTTCAGAAAGGGGGGTGCACAGTTCTTTTTCACCCATTTTCTCGAGAGTTTCAATGGTCATTTAATAAACTTTCAGGATAGAAGGATCCACCTATGCCATATATGTTTTCAGTAATTTCACTCTAAATTGTTGTTTGTTATGACTGAGAAATCTGTTTTATGGACTGTCATCTGTGACCAACCTGACATGTGACACTAGATTTTAGTACTTTTCGGGATTTGAAATTTGGGGTCAGGTTCGGGGAGAGTGGGGGGCAGTCTCAATAAATTGTCTACATCTGCTTTGTAGCTACACAAGGTTGACAAAACAATGTTTTTAAGACCTGCTCATCTTTATGCTGCATTCATCACTTGAGCTGGGAGGTTGTGAATATTTAAAGCCAGAAAACACTGCACTCAGCAATACCAGATTTAAACTAACATTAGACTTGAGTTACATTTTACCGGTATGCTACATGATGATATAGAAATATATATAAAAGGTTGTGACATAAACATATATTTCATGAAATAACATCATATGTAAAAATGCAACTTATAACGTAATTATCATTCTAAAATAAGCTTTATAAATATGCTAAAAATATATTTGCAGTTCAGATAAATCGAGATAAATTGTGTGATTGTGAAAAATATACAGAAGAAACCACTTCCCTATATTTTGAGTTCCTTGTGTAAAAATGTCAACCTGAAAAATAACATAAAATAAAATTCTGCATGGTTAAAAAGACATCTAGAGCAACATAATTTAAAATACTTATGTGTGTTGAAACATATTTTTGTGTATGTCAAATCTGGGTTTTACACCACACAGAATGTGCGTCCAGTAATCATAAATGTATAGAATGGGTGCAGAAATTAAAATATAGTGTGTCTCGAGGGAAGTCCATTAGCATTCACTGTAACAAATTCTCAGAAATATACTGTTTTGTAATTTAATAAAATAATTCAATCTTACATTTCACCATTTAACTGACCTATATATTATGTTACTACCCCAAAATATTTAAATTGATTGGATTTTACATTTGATCCTAACACAATTGATTTTTTAACAATATAGCAGTCATAATAAACTCTCAGGGATCACTTACTTTAGCTTGTATTAGCCATAGTTCATTAAACGCACTTCAACTAAAATACAGAGCATGTGGTGAGAGAAAAATAGAAAGTTTGTTCCTTGATTTATTTTGAGCAGTATATTTGGCTATTATCAGACTTCACATTACTACCACTTAATGCAAGCAGACCTTCCTCATTACCAGCAAATTTATCAGCATATAATTAATAACTTATAAAAATGGAATCTCAGTAAAACCATAGTTTGTACTCCATTACAATACCTCTCTGTGTGAAGCTCTGACACCTCCATACGAGGTCACCTGAGATTACCCCTCACAGGACTTTGACCGCCAAACCTAAAGAAGGGTGGGTAGTTCTTGAGCCAATCATTTATCAAAAATGATTAAGTTCAATTTTTCACTACCTTGCCTCAAAAAGTGTTAATGTTAACAAAAGACTTACACCAGACACAAATATCCCTTTTGGGTTAAGAAGGTGCCATAGTGCTCAAAAATGACAGGGTGATTAAATATGCACAGTATATTTTATTTTATTATTATAGGATATTTATATAGCGCACATATCCAGGCAACTAGTGCATGCTCAAGGCGCTGGTATTTTCCATGCTACTCTCAAAGTGGACAAACGGTTAGCTTCTGAATACAAATAATTTTGAAAGCAACAATAATTATATGAAAATTGAAAAGGAACTGGAAGGAGTTGGGAAATACAGGACCTGAACTTGAGGAAAATCTTGCAACAATTAGGGCTTCGGATTGCAGAAAGGAAAATAATGTGGTTCAGGGACTGTGAGACAGACTTCTGTGGATGGTTCTACTTCTCATACTGTCAAAGACACAGACTGGTTAGAAAGACATCACCTGTCCATGACCTTGTTTTGTGGGGTTGTGCTATTCTTGTGTTGACAGGTATTGTCTCAGAGTAGGTTATGATTTTAATGAGATTGGGTAATAATTATTGCTAGAATAATCTATTAATGAAACTCCACCGATGTTCTCCAGGCTGTTCCACGAATGCTCATCATCACAAACATGATTCCTTCTTGAACAGTTTGAAAGGTTTTTCTTTGATCAGGTTCCTGGAAGTCAATGCTTGCCTTCGTCACAGAGGGGACAAGCATCCTGACGATGACTGTGGTTTTAGGACAGTACAACCCCATGTTGCTTCAGTACAGACAGTGCGATGTCTACAACTGTCTCCCGAGACCCAGATGCATCAACCTCTGTGCAAGCAGGATTACTCATTCTCTTGTAGGCTTCACATAATCTGCATGCAGAAAAAAAATATATTATCATAAACCATTTTCATTCTGAAACCTTGGTTCTGTGATTAAAAATATAAATAAATCAAGAAGACAAAGTCATCAATATCCCCCGCAATGGCCAAATACTTTTCATGAATATGTCTACGAGTTATGATTATGTCAAATGTTTTGGTGTGTGTATAGCTAAGTGGAAGGAGAGTACTGAAAGGTTTCAAAGTTCTGCTCCAGAAAGGACCACTACCACCAAATTCAGTTGAAGCCAAAATTGTTGCCATGGAAACGCAAAAAAAACCCCATTTTATTCAGAAATCCAAAACAAGCAAAAGGCACCAGTTCACCACTAGACCTACCTTTGTATGAAATTTCATGATGAAACAGTGAACAGTTTTTAAGTTCTGCTCCGGAAAAGAGCACTACCGGCAATTTCAGTCAAAGTGAAACTTGTTGCCATGGAAACGCCAAAAATATTTCATTCAGAAATCCAAAAATACCAAAAGGCACCAGTTCACAACCAGATCTATCTTAATGCCAAGTTTGGTGAAGAAACATTGCACGGTTTTAGAGTTCTGCTCCGGAAAAGAGTACTAGCACCAATTTCAGTCAAAGTCAAACTTGTTGCCATGGAAATGCAAACAAGAAGACAAAGTCATCAATATCCCCCGCAATGGCAAAATACTCTTCATGATTATGTCTACGAGTTATGATTATGCCAAATATGTGTATATAGAAAAGTGGGAGGAGAGTATTGAAAGGTTTTTAAAGTTCTGCTCCAGAAAGGAGCACTATCACCAATTTCAGTCTATGTCAAACTTGTTGCCATGGAAACGCCAAAAATATTTTATTCAGAATTCCAAAACTACCAAAAGGCACCAGTACACCACCAGATCTCTCTATGTGCCAAGTTTGGTGAAGAAATAGTGAACAGTTTTTGAGTTCTGCTCAAAATGTGCACGGAGTCGGACAGAGTCCATTTTAATAACCCCCGAAAAACGGCCATGTAAGCACTAAAGATCAGGATTAGCATTGGTCTTCAGCAACCCATGCTTGTCGTAAGAGGCGACTAGCAGGACTGGGTAGTCAGTTAGTGAGTTTAGTTTTACACCGCACTCAGCAATATTCCGGTCTGTAAATAATCAAGTCCAGTGATCAACAGCATGAGCATCAATCTACACAACTGGGATATGATGACATATGTCTGTGAGCCTGACCACCTGATCCCATTAGTTGAGCTCAGTCACTTGAGCCAAAATGGCATACAATTTCATGCAATCTAATTGAGTGAGTGAGTGAGTAAGTGTCTATATTTTTTAGGTGAGAATCGAACCCGGGTCTTCAGGATAACCAGTGAGCACTTTAACTGCTAGGCTACGCCACCGCCCCCTACATTTCGTAAGTAAAACAATATACATGGGCTGTCTGATGATGAAAGTGTAAGTGGGTTTAGTTTTACGCCGCTTTTAGAAATATTCCAGCAATATCACGGCGGGGGACACCAGAAATGGGCTTCACACATTGTACCCATGTGGAGAATAGAACCACTTTTCATTTCCTCACCACGTCAACTTCAACAGCAAAAGAAACTGCCAAATGAAGTAATAAGCCTTTAAACACCCTTTTGGTTGTAGATGCCATTGAAACTAGTCTCCTTACATGATCTAACATATTTGGAAAACGAGAAAAAACATTTGGCTTTAAAACCTTTGTCTGAACAAGGCATCAGTGTCAAGAATCTTTTCCTCGTATGTCATGGCTTCATCTCGAAAGTTCATCCTCTGTTTGCGAACATCCTCTGTCACATTCAAGAACAAGACCACAGTTGGCCGAAGTAGGTCACATGGCCAGTTGTAGGTCATGTGACCTAAAGGTGGCAGGTCACTCAAGGATGTCTCATTGGCGATACCATAGGCAGCGGTGCTGTGCCAGAACCTGAGGCAGACGAATTTACACTGTAGCAGACAGAAACTAATTATAGAACCAAGTGATTAAAGGCACAATTTCACACATTTTTCACAATATTTTGGCCTGTATTGAAATATTGGGGCATATGCACTCACTTTAGTTTTCTATTGATGCAATAAAAGACTTATCACTTATGACTTGCCTGAAATTGATAATTGAAACTTCGAGGCAAACAGCTTCCAATGCTCCCAAATGTACGCAATTGCTCCCTACATTGAAAACTGTTGCACACGGTGTTGTCAGGTTGCCGAACTGGTTTCAATCACAAGTTATGAGTATGTTTTTGCGCCAGACATTACTGTCATTTTGTCTAGGACTGAATTCTGCTTCCAAAGGAGTTATAGGATATTAGTAAAGAGCCCTCCAAGGGACGTAACTCTATGGGGTTCGCTTAAAATAATGTTCGGCCGATAGAGGGCGTGAGAGTCAATTTAATGCAACATTGCATTAATTCATTCGAACTTTTTAATTTAATATTGTAATCTAAATACGTAATTTCATTTTGGAATAAATTATACATGGTAGCTTCCCTAAGGGCTGATAGTTTGTATTATTGAGAGAAATGCATTATTTATATTTAGAGAAGTGTGATGTAGTGCCTTTAAGTTAGTGAGTATGGTTTAATGCTGCTTTTACCCAAAATTAGTGTTGGGAATTGCTCAAAATCTCATAATTGATGATTGGTTCATTACAACCGATCAATCATCGAACATAATTAGTTAGCGTCATTTATCAAATTTTCCTGCTTATGTTTGTTAATGCACAAAAAATAAAAGAAGAAACATGTAGTTTTTATGATTTTTTTAGAAAATTGCACAAAATACTAAGGCAAATTTCTCATCTTTAAAGGATGACTAGTATTTTAGGTACATAAATTTCCTTAAGTCTTTAAGATAAATTCAATCCTGACTTGGATCGAGCTGGTTGTGCTTATGAAATGTAACAGACAAAACCAACCTTGTGAAAAATATTGTTAATGCAAACAAATGTTCCCAAATTGTTTGTGTTCGACTATGAGAAGACATGATTGAGTGCTTGGTCGTTAGTCATTGCGACCATTCTTCGATTATTTCAATTAATCGTACCACCACTAGCAACAACCCAGCAATATCACGGCAGGGGACACCAGAATTGGGTTTCACACATTGTAACTTGTGGGGAATCATACCTGGGTCTTCGGCGTAACAAGCGAACGCTTTCACCTTTAAAATACCCCACCACCACTTCTAAATTATTTAAGGGATGGTGGGATAGCCTAGTAGTTAAAGTTTTCGCTCGTCACGCCAAGACCAAGGTTCGATTCCCCACATGGGCACAATTTGTGAAGCCCATTTCTGGTGATATTGCTGGAATATTGCTAAAAGCGGGCGTAAAAGTAAACTCACTCACTCTAAAATATTTAAATAACTCTGGTTCCTGGTTTGCCAATCATGGAATGGTGTAAATCATCAATCACAACACAGCATCACTGCATTCAAAATGAACTTTCCAGCAACTTGATATTCCACAAACATACAAATCATGAAGGTTTATCTTCTGAATGTGTTACCTGTCCATGACCACAGCTTTTTGTTGACATTCCTTGGCAATCTGAATGGCCACGATGTAGTTTCCCAGAGAGTAGTAAGCCCTGCGGACAATTTCCGGCATGGTATCGAAGAATTTCCTCAGATGCTGAATACAAGGAGGTGGAGTGTAGTATCTCACTGCTTGTATCTTGCGCTCAAGAGTTTCTGTCAGAGTTGTCTTCCCTTGAATGCAATAACAATTACGGTAAATCAACTGATTGTTTCATGACTACAATGCCATGCAAAGTTTCATTTCAGGGTGCACTGGTGCATGGTAAAAATGGCTGGTGCAGGTTACCTTCAGTAACGGGTTGTACCCGGTACAGGTACTGAAAATATCCCCTGAATTTATGCATCATAACTCATAACTGCAATGATCATAAATGAAAGGTTTAAAAATCATTTAACTGAGTAGTTTCTATAAAAAGCAAAAACAAAAAACTCTGAATATCTTCATCCTCCCTGCTCTCCTCCAAGAAAAAAGTGAGTGAGTGAGTTTAGTTTTACGCCACACTCAGCAATATTCCAGCTATATGGCGGCGGTCTGTAAAAAATTGAGTCTGGACCAGATAATCCAGTGATCTACAGCATGAGCATCAATCTGCGCAATTGGGAACTGATGATATGTGTCAACCAAGTCAGCGAGCCTGACCACCCGATCCCGTTAGTCGCCTCTTACGACAAGCATGGGTTACTGAAGATCAATATTCTAACCCGGACCTTCAAGGGTCCCAAGAAAATATACCCCAAACAAACAAAAACAACAAAATCAATTATTATAAAACTTTTCCGCTATATGGCGGCAGTCTAGAGTTAATCGACAATCCAGTGATCAACAGCATGAACATTGATCTACACAATTGGGATACAATGACGTGTCAACCAAGTCAGCAAACCTGACCACCTGATCCCATTCTTCGTCTCTTACAACAAGCACGGGTTGCCAAAGGCCAATTCTAACCCGCATCTTTACGGGTCAGGTTGCTGAAGAGTAATTCTAAACTGGAACTTCACTGGCTGGACACACAGAGGAGGACCAGAGATTTGTCAAAGTACCTGCTGCATCCATGCCTTCAACCACAACAAAAGGATGCTTTAACTGAGACTGAAGTGATTCAACGTTGAAGCTCTCAGGTAGTTCCTTCTTTCCAATGGCTAGTAACTCCTGAACTTCCAGCATATCCGACACCTGGCAACACGTGATCACATGTCAACATACAAACATGGGATTCAGTCACAAGTTCGTAGAAAATACCAGTGAAAATATCTGTAAAATTTGTTCTCATACCACACAAACTGACATCAATAAATTCCCCCTTATTAATTCTAAATGCCATTCATAGAAAAGAAATTGCAGAAATTGCAAAAATACAATGTTTCTAATGTTCCTATATCTTATCTTATGGTTTCCAAGTCCCATTCTGGGATTTAAACCACAGACCTTCAGATCTGAAGGCAGACGGACTGTTCACATGACCAAGAGGTTAACCCCATCAGCAAGCTGGCAAGGTAAGGATGTCATCTGGAGGATGTCTCCATGCCCTGCTACATACTCCTCGGTCAACATAAGGCATGTCCTTGGACGCATAGTAGGGTACTGCGACTTATTTGGCTCAAATTGAATGAGTGTGAGTGAGTATGGTTTTACTCCGTTTTTAGCGGTGGGCTTCACACATTGTACCCACGTGGGGAATCGAACCCGGGTCTTTGGCGTGATCAGCGAATGCTTTAACCATTAGGCTACCCCACTGCCCCGTAAATATTGTGTACTTTAAGTATATACTTTAAACTTCAGTAGATAATTTAGTTAAGTATGGTAACAACTCTTTAAACTAACCCAAACACTTTCTACTAATCCTTAAAGGTGAAGTAGTTATGTAAGTTAGGGTTCTCTTTGTTGTCTTCAGACACCTGGTCCAGCCAAGGCCTGGTCAGTGTATTTCTGTTGTTTCTGCACCATGCGATCAGAGATAGAGTTTTGTATCCTTCAACATTTCTCTTCTCTGGGGGCGGAGGGGTAGCCTAGTGGTTAAAGCGTTGGCTCGACACGCCGAAGACCCGGGTTCGATTCCCCACATGGGCACAATGTGTTAAGCCCATTTCTGGTGTCCCCCGCCGTGATATTGCTGGAATATTGCTAAAAGCGGCGTAAAACTAAACTCAGTCAGTCAGTCTCTTCTCTGGTCTCTGCTGCCATCCTACACATGATGAAGGAGTAAGAATACACTCCAAAACGTATGTATGTGTGTGTGTGTGAGTGTGTGTATGAGTGTGTGTATGTATGTGTGTGTATGTGTGTGTGTATGTATGTATGTATGTCTATATGTGTGTGTGTGTGTGTATGTATGTATGTCTATGTGTGTGTGTGTATGTATGTATGTATGTATGTATGTATGTCTATGTGTGTATGTATGTATGTATGTCTATGTGTGTATGTATGTATGTATGTATGTCTATGTGTGTGTATGTATGTATGTCTATGTGTGTGTGTATGTATGTATGTATGTATGTATATGTGTGTGTGTATGTATGTATGTATGTATGTATGTATGTGTGTGTGTGTGTGTGTGTGTGTATGTGTGTGTGTGTGTGTGTATGTATGTAGGTAGGTATGTAGGTATGTATGTATCAGGGTTTTATGGGACGCAAGATTCCTGTGTATTGGACGCAGAAATTTGATGAAGTACCCCCAAATTAAAATCCTGTGAGTCCTTGTGGACGTAATATAATTTTTTTCTGGGAAAGAACTTTCTGAGTTTGTAATGACATCCCATATTAATATGTAAACATTTTATTTACAATCATTATTCTAATGACACTGAAAGTAACACGTATCATAACGTAATCATTATCAAATGGGAAGCATCCATTATCATTGATTTCATGCAAATTGATTGACTCCCAATTTTGGAAATGGACTCTCACAAAAAAATCCAGGACTCCTAGTTTCGAAGAGCTACGTAAAACCCTGATGTATGTGTGTGCGCGCGTGCAACACACACACATAAGCATGCACGCACACATATACACACACGTATGTAGTGAATGGTAACTAACCCACATGGAAACTTTTATGCATGTGTGGACGGATGGTGGTTGTACGTGGGTGCGTGCTATGATTTCCTCACAACTGCCTGTCAGCTACCCCTCCCAGGCAAATTAAGACCACCCATTAGCTCTACCCTTAGACGTTAGTCTAATGCTTAGTCTCTGAATATATACAGTGTTTCCGTTCTCCGGTATATACCTGAAAATCACCGGTAAAATTTGCTGGGGACCGGCACTGAGTCCGGTAAATAATCATGTATTAAAATAAAAAAATCATGGGTAAGCGAAATGACAGTCTTGGCTGTGCTTTCATGGTCGCAAAAATTCTTAGGTTTCGGAAATACCCAGGCTAAAAATAACTTTAAAATGAGTACTTGCAGTATGGCAATAAGATACGACCGACAAATTTCATTCATGACCGGTAAAATTTTAGGTCGCCTGACACAGTGTCAGATAAATAATTAAGTCAGCGGAAACACTGATATACAACTTTGATAGAAACAAAAAATTTCTTTCATATTGAAAATGAGCCCTGATGAGAAGGCAGATTCAGACAAGACTTGCTTCAGGGGCGGTGGGGTAGCCTAGTGGTTGAGGCGTTCGCTCGTCACGCCGAAGACCCGGGCTCGATTCCTCACATGGGTACAATGTGTTAAGCCCATTTCTGGTGTCCCCCGCCATCATATTGCTGGAATATTGCTAAAAGCGGCGTAAAACCAAACTCACTCACTCACTTAATTTCGGGCTTAAAGGTCACATGCAACGTAAAACACAACTTTGCAGATTCTGATACCTTTCGGTATGGACTTACCGAAACAAATCGTCAAAAATGCAAATTCAACTTATAAAGTTGAAAAATAACGCGATGAAAAAACCCGTGCGAAATCGGAGTTCAAACGTTTCACTAATTTTCCCCTGACTTTTCTGGGGAAAACTGGTTTCAACAGCTGGGCTGGGCTCATAGCACGTGCCCAGTGAAATAGGTTCGCGCAGCTTGGAAGCGGGTTGTCCGGTGAATACACGGTGAAGGCTTTGGTGTGAGCTATTTTTCTAATGTTTTGTTGATATCTCACAGGCGTGAGCTTTTTATATGTTATGGCGGTAAATTAACTGTTTATATAATTTCATTTGTCTATTTCACCACACGTTCTTCTTACCAAGTCACTTTCTCACTTTGATACTTAAAAGCAATGTCATTATGTAGCGCTGACAGAATTTCTAACTGTGACATAGACATGTCGTTGTCACAGACAAAACTCAATGTCTTGTTTTATTGACACCTGTGTGTCTGCCTGCCTGTCTGCTATTGACAATATTCAATACACAGCTGCTATCACTGACCACATGCAATTTGAACTTAACACCAATCAGGCTATACACCATAAACAAAATGCATTGATTTATGGCCCGAGTTCGGTCTCTGTCACATTATGTAATTACACAGACAGGCAGGTGTGATACTTGAACACATGACATGTTCTGATGTCTGTTGATTGCAAAATGTTATACACAAAAAATGAGCATGTATTTACAAAACCCAACATCTCTATATATACACACACAATAAGCCGTGAGGGCATCTGCAAATGAACCAGCCGTTACACTTGAGTGCACAACCACCCGCTCTGACTGGGTTCGGTATCCCGGCTGCTTCGTTCTTGGGAAGTAAACCCAAGTACACAATATTGCACTTTTGATTTGCGATTGTACGCTTATAATTTTGTTTATATGTTTTTTCATAACCAGGAATGTATATTATATGTCATGAATAAGTGATGATTGTCTTTTAATTATGTTTGATTTTTTTGGTTGCATGTGACCTTTAAGCATTGTAGAGAGGGCTGGGTGGAAGTGAAAACAATGCAGTTCAGGGACTGTGAGACAGACTACTGACCTGTCAGCTTTGTATGATTGTCATTAGCAATGTACTTACTGGGAAAGTTAATAAAATGTCTTTCGTATTTCTATTCACATGAGGTTAGGGTCATGTTTTGTCACGTATTTGTTCATCACATTAAATTGTATATCTGTCATGTAGAACATTCTGTAGTATCATCCACATGATATGCAATGTTGTAAATATATTGCATGTGTAATGTTATGGTATGTATTGTGACAAGTCATAACTCCAGTAACCAGTTAAATATGATTTACATAGCAGCTTCAGTAGTACTTCACTACACTGTCCTGTATGAGTTGATGAATTAGTATGTACATTGTATGTTGTGGATCATATCAGTGAGAGAGAGCGAGACAGAGAGACAGAAGAGAGAGAGAGAGAGAAGAGAAAGCGAGAGAGAAAGTGAGTGAGAGAGAGAGAGAAGGCAAGAGACAGAGAAAGAGAGATAGAGAGAGAGACAGAGAGAGAGAGAGAGAGAGAGAGAGAGAGAGAGAGAGAGAGAGAGAGAGAGAGAGAGAGAGAGAGAGAGAGAGAGAGAGAGAGATTGTATAAACAAATTGCTTCTAGTCTTGAAATAGAAGTGTTTAGTTAGTGTGCCTGCATTGTCCAACACGTGACATCAGAGTACAGGGTAAGTGCGAAAATATAATTTAGTTGCTCTCAAGCAAGTATGAACATGGGTGGTATTAATCATGTTAATAGTCACTATTAACTTTGAAACTTAGACGTAGCATTGTGAGTTTGAAAACAGCAGATGAAGTAGTTCACTACTCCTGTTTATATTCTCATCTCCCTTCTTGCTTCAGTCAATGAAACTTTTGGTGTCAGAATTAAAATTTAATTCTTTTCTCTGATTCAGCTTGACAAGTTGAAAATCAGACAGGAAATGTTGGTAAATGAATGGATTCAATATGGTTAATAAAATCCAGAGATGCCGACCCCAAAGCAGTGTTCACGAATATCGTCTGACCTCTCAGATTCGCCAAAGGTCTGATCAGGGCTGTATCGGCGTATGTACGGATAAAAAATATGCACGATACGGTAGGAAATAATTTAGAAAACGTAGAAGATACGCACAACGGCAATGGTGTACAGTCTTAAAATCATTTACAGACATTATTGTTTTATTGTTTTTGACCTTTTTATTTAAGCGTAGCAATGTTGTGGTGCATATATGAAACGAAACACTAGGTTACTGATACTCCATTAAATTCCATTCAGTACTCTAAATGTACTCTTAAGGTTTTCCAGTACTCCTGTATTGAAAAAATATGGAGTACGTACTCCTGATGTTGAAAACTTATCTGGAGCCCTGTCTGATAGAAGTATACAACCCGCCGGCCCCAGTGTCCGACTGTATATTTCACAATGACTTTGACTGAAGTTGTTATATGTGACATGTGTCACTTGTTTGCTGTTTATAAATCTTATGTTTGTTAATAATTTCAATGCCAATTATAAGAAATGTTAAATCTGAAATGTGTGTTTGACTTTATTCTATGGGTCCTGTGAATTTTCAATGGGTCAGACAGACATCTGAAACTCACACGACCCAATGTCCTGTTACTTTGAAACACCATTCGTGAACACTGCAAAGAGTTGCAAGTAATAGTTTCAATGGTCAAAACTAGTAGTTTGACTATAAAATTAGTAGTCAACTAAAATACTTAAAATCATGATGGATTCTGAGAAAGATAATATGATATTAATCAAGAGTGAAGTTTTAATTTCACATACCTCCAACAGCTGATTTCCAAATGTTACTTGCAATAATTCCAGTTCAATTATGTCATTAAATTTAATGAATGAGGGGTAAGTGAAGTCCGAAAATGTACTTAATCGGCGAAAGGATATGTTTTTGTCTATATACCAGAATTTTAATGAATTTTTTCCAAATTTTGTAGAATTTCTAGTGCAATTGTATTTGCATAGTTTGAGGTTAAAATTCACAGCGACTTCGATAAAATCATATAGGTTGGCATCTCTGTAAAATCCTTTGGGTGAATTGTTTGTTAGTTGTTAAACATCACACTCTGAGTGAGTTTAGTTTTACGCAATATTCCAGCTACGGCGGTCTGTAAATAATCGAGTCTGGACCAGACAATCCAGTGATCAACAAACAGCATGAGCATCGATCTACGCAATTAGGATATGATGACATGTGTCAACCAAGTCAGCAAATCTGACCGCCTGATCCTGTTAGTCGCCTCTTACGACAAGCATGGTTGCTGAAGACCAATTCTAACCAAGAAATTCTCGGGTCTTGAGTGAATTTGCTGATAATATTTCTTATATAGTTGTGAATTAGTACAGCACTTAACAGCTTTATGCTTATTTATTTTACATAAAGATAACAACACTTTAACAAGACGAGGAACTGTGCGAAGAATTCAGGGCCTACCTTTAGAATACAGCACTACAAACTTTACAAATTACATCATAATACCATATGATGTAATTTGAGAACTTTGAAACAAAAACAATGCTCTGTGACGTCAGACTGTTGCTGGGTTATTGAGTGTGCCTAAGCACCTCTCAGCGTTCTGTCGTCTCAACTGTACATTGTCATTCAATAAGCTGGCGCTCTGAATTAAGAAACTTTGAACTTTTAATCTTATGAAATGTCTGAAATGATTTCAACAATATGTTTTATGCTTACCCTGTTTAAAACATCCATTGTTCTTTCAAAACTGTGAAACACAGGGCTGCATGTTGTGTTGTTGAACATGGGAGGAATCCTGTCTTCGATGGTGCTGTCAACGCTGGGACAGTCAAGCCGAAAATGAGCATTTGTTTTGACGTCTGCTGCATCAGGTTCCATCATCGTCTGCTCTAAAACGTTCGTCTGATCTCTTTGAACAAACCTGTAAACACGCAAATCTTCTGTTTTGCTAATGTGAGCGAGAGATATGCTTTTCTTTGCCGTTGCATTCTTCTTAGAACACAAAAATAAACATCTTTTGAGATCTGGAGATTTGCTGCTGCCCTGTCGAGTTCCGAGAACAATATAGTGATCGTCTGAAGAAATCGATCGCTTCAGTCTGTAGAAAGTAATACATGATTGTATATATCCTGTGAATGTATCAGAGCATTCCAAGGCTGTTGTCTCGACAACAAGGAGTGTATTTTCCGTAATTCTGTCAGGTAGACAGGACGATATCTGATTTCTAATTTCGTGAAATTCTGAAGCCTGTCTCTTGTCAGTACTTCCCGTCTCTTTCAAATACACGGGTTTGTCAGCAAATGGCGCGTAATAAGTAATATTATCCATACTTAGACGATCATGACCTGACTTTGCCATGAGACAAAGGCATCTGCTTGCTTTTTGAGACGCCCGCCAGAAATTTGTAAACACATTCATTGACGGCCATATAAGGGGAAGTCACTCTCGTTTCTTGGAACCAGCACTGCAGGTTTTACGTGGAAAGAAAACAGTAGATCGTTTCCAGCAAAGACGTATATACACAGGATCGTTTCCAGTAAATTGCATTGTTCAGTTTCGAAAATTTGTGATCATTCCAGTTCTATCTACGTTTTATTTGTCTAGTGAAAGATGACAAAAAATCAGTATAAACGCCTATGCAGAATAAGGAATCGAACAAATTAAGCTGCTGAAAGAGAGATTTATATCAATTTCATATGTTCTATCAGACACCATATATCTATTATATGGTCTGTGGTTCTATTTAGCAAAGCAATCAAACCTGTAACATGTACGATTGTTCTAATTCAGTCTGATTAGGGGGCCGTTCTTGATTCATGGCTAAGTACGTGTGTGTGTATTTGTGTGCGCGCGCGCGTGCTTGCGTGCGTGTGCAGGAATAATCTACAGCAGTTTTCTATTCTCTCTGGTATGTGTGGTGACGATGATGTTTTTATTTATTTATTTATTACTTTTTTTTACTTTTTTCTATTTTTTTGGGGTGGTTGGGGGGTGCGGTGGTCACCCATTTGGGGAAGGGAGGGGCAGCAATTTTGTGCACATGTACAGGGCAGCAATTTCGTACATAGTACTATTATTTGCCCAAGCTAGTCTTAACACATTCCACGAATATCTCTTTTTCTCATATGTACTCATTATTCATTAGTTCCCGCTAAGCATTGGGTATATCTACGCTGTCATTTGTCACACGGATCGATAACCTACTTTAAATGGTGGGAACATTGCAAAGCCACCTTCAATGCAACTGAGCCAGTTTAGTATCACGTCGCTTTTAGCAATATTCCAGCAATATCACGGCGGGGTACACCAGAAATGGGCTTCACACATTGTACCCATGTAGGGGAGGTTAGGTGAGGTGAAATTGGGTTTAACGTCGTTTCGCTCATATGACGACGTGCATGCGTGTGTATGTGTTTGTGTTTGTACTAGCCCAGACTTAAGCTGGTTTTATAGTGCTAGCCCACTGAGATACCATGCCGCAGTGAAGCATGAATACCCCACTCAAACACATTATACTGACTCCGAGCCGACCAGTCCTTGATGTACCCATTAATGCCGAGCGCCAGGCAGGGACCAACAAGTACCATATTTTTAACGTCTGTTAGTATGACGCGGTCGGGGATCGAACCCGCGACCTTCCGCTCTCCGGGCGGACGCTCTAACCACTACACCACGGAGGCGATCCCCATGTGGGGAATCGAACCCGGGTCTTCGGCGTGACGAGCGACCACTTTAACCACTAGGCTACCCCACCGCCTCAGTGCAACTGAACGATCTGTATATTTACCTTTGGCGGTTACGTGGGCTTGCTGCTGCACCGGTTTTATGGTCAAAATATATATTTTTTACATCAGTACACGATGACAGACGCGCATGAGCAGAGAAGACCAAGTAACATCCACACTTTCCAGGTGTTGGAAGTTTCACTTTCGGTTCCACGAAACAGTAGGTATTTCCGTCATTTGCTTATCACGTGACCATATTTCCCCGAACATGTCATTCAGCGATAGCATAAAACGTAACACGCAAACTACCAACTAGCTGTCAGATGCACGCTTGCCGAAAACATTCATCGATAAGATGACAGGTTTCCTACTAGTGATTGCATTGCTCTACATGTTCCTGGATCATTCATACAGCGGTTTTGGAAATGGCTAACGGAACTGAAAAACACAGTTAGATTAACTCGACTACAACAGGAGGTGACTTCAGACAGCGCTCCCGTGTAACTCAACATTGACGCCACTGAGCGTCAACTACCACTTTACGCGACGATGCAACTACAAGTGCGGATTTTGTTTTCACACTGCCAAGACGTCGTTTGTTCCCTCCCTTTGATGAAGCTAAGAGGGGACTTAAAGCTCTCCAGTGATGCAGGTAGGAGATTTGTAATATTAGACAGTTACAAAGGTTATCTATTTCCACGACAACTTAAACACCGTATCAGTAACGGTGATTCATACAGCAGCTGCTGCAGCCTGCCAGTATATATTGACTGTGGCGGTGCGGATCTACCGCTTAACAGCCAGGAGTGAGTGAGTTTAGTTTAACGCCGTTTTTAGCATTATTCCAGCAAGGTGTTGTATACAGGCTGGAATAGGTCCTAAAATGACGTCATCATCGAACACCACGGCTGACCTCATTTCACACGGGTGTCAATGACCGTTGGAAACACATCATAGCATCACACCATGACATCACGCCATTAATTTAGGCCAATCAGCGTAGAACAACCTATCGGGGTTCACCTGACCACTGACCACAAACTAGTTTCGTCCGGTTTCAATTTTTGAAAGTATAAAAACCCTCTGACAGTCAAGTTGAAGCTATCATTTTGTCCTCTTACAAAATGTTTATATTTTCCATACTCAATAACCTTTCTGTGGAGAAAATCTGTTATCTCAGAGCGCGCGCCGTTGAGGCATGGTGAATTAACAGTCGCAGCCTCCACACACTTCCCTCGGGTCTCAGTCAGCCGAGGTGTAACATGATACGTCCCTCAAGTTGTAATCTCCAAAATCGTGGGTCTAACATTAGCCTGTCTCACTGACCCATATTATTTTGCCTACAGCTCCAGCCCTCCTCCCTGCACTGCTAAGGCTCTGAAATGAAGTCTAGATTTCCCCAGGTTTGTCTTTCTTTGGATCCTTGTCAATTAAATAGGTTTGTTTGTTACTATCAAGATAATACATTCAGAGACTAAACATTAGTCTAGTCTAACATGTGCACACATGTGTAAAGAAATGATACGGGTTTTATAACACATTTGTTCAATGCAATCAGCGTTCATTGCCACATGAAAAATGGTTTGAAGTTTGTCTTGACCATCACCAAAAACAACCCAACTCAATGAGAATTTCCCTAAATGATTTCAAACTTACCGGTATTCACATTCCATATTTGAATATCCAATCCATATTAATCCGTTAACATCCTGCCTTGTAATGCGATAAATTTAGGGAATCAGGGATGATATTGAGATGTTATACCCCAAATCCCATATGTTTGTGATTGTATTGAATGAATCAACCACCAAAACAACACATGAGACTAATATTGCACCTTCCATGTAAATAGAACATATCTGGGATTGTGTCGTGCAAAAACACTCTTCCTCTCACAACAGTGCTAGCAGAGACGATCTGGTGACCCACATTTACGCGTGTGTGGATTATACTGTGGCGGGAGGGGTAGGGAGGGCGGGGGCACTGCTGTGGCAGAGGGGAGGGAGGTTTCTGTCGATACAGTTATAGCCTGACGAGCATTCTCGCGAGTGTAAAACAACACCCATAAATAAAAATGCTCGTTAGCATGAACGCTAGCTAGGGCGTAGTCAGCTTTGAAATGTGCGTTCTGGTCATGGGTTTTTTGTACATCATACTTTAGGAATGCAACTTTCAACTTTCTAAAATTCCATCAGGAAACGGGTGTAATTGTATAGTGTTAGCATGAAAGAGTAATCATAAAATGACAACTCACAGGTGTATATTATTTTTTTATATGGGTATTTATATAGCACTATAGTCCATACCGCATGCATGCTCAAAGGGCTGGTAACTTTTTCCCTTTGATGTCAATCCAGCCATATTACCATTCTCAACTCCCCGGGGATCATCTTGCTACCACTAGGCGCACTAAGTTAATGTGGCTCCCAACGAGGTATACATGACAAAAACCAAGATAAACTGATTTCATTTTTTTATTAGCTCCGTTTCAAACGAGTACAACTACGGGATAGGAGCGCTCCTGTGAAGTTTACTTTTACATCTGTTGTCTTATCACCGTTCCTAATCGTCATGGCCTTCACTCTCTTCATCAGATGTTATGTCTGCATTATCATCTTCGGTCAAGCCTTCGACCCAAGACTTATATTGGTACAGTTTGGAAAACTCATCATGATACAGATTATTTGTGTCTCCTACTTGTTTCAGTATTTCACGCTGAACGTCTAACTCGGACTGAATGGTCCCTTGCTTGGAGGTCTGCTTTTAAGCTGAAGGCATTGGGACAAAGTCGCATATGGGGGAGGTGTTTGGGGTTTTAGATCAACCAACAAGTAGCCATAAGGCTTCTGGGTAGCCTCCTTCGAAACGGCTCCATGAAACGGTCTGTGTTACCTGGATACATTTACCTCGCCAAAGTCATGATGGGTTGTTGATCGATAGGGTTGTTGAACAGAAGCAGATAATGACAGTTTCTTCTGTTGTGTGGTGGTGGTGGTGGTGGTGGTGTGTGGTGGTGGTGTGTGGAGGTGGTGGTGGTGGGTGTGTGGTGGTGGTGTGTGGTGGTGGAGGTGTGTGGTGGTGGCTGCATTGCTTGTCTGTGTTGATTCCTGAGATGTCTAAGCATGGCATCCCTTCTGGAAAAACGTCTGATAGCACACGGGACAGGGATGCATAATAATGTTCACACGTCAACAGTCCAACTACAAATGACACCAAACCAGGCATTTTGAATGGCCTCATCTCTAAGTGCATTGACAAACTGTGGTTTCAAAACAAATGCTACGATTGGCATGTTACTGGCAAAAAAAGACTCTTCCACATACTGTCTGTGGTCCACAGGGGGTGAACTAATCTTCGTAACACCGCTAGATAGTTATTTCTATCATTTGTCCTCAGAGAAACGACGCTTTCATATCGAGTCACTGGTAATCTTCCCCTTTAATAACCTATTGATAATACCATTGATGGCAAGAATCTGTTCTCTGTTCATTTCTAAGATGTCTTGTCGAATCTCCTCAATGTCTTGAAACATTAAGATGAACCTTTAAAAATTCGTAATGTTTCAACACGTACCTAGCCATATTATTTCTAGCAAACAAACTCTTATCGTGGTTGGGATATCAATGAGATTAGTATTTGAGTCAACCTCTATTTATACTATACACATAGACAACCAAGGCAGACATACTCTTTAACATTGATTTATTTCCAATAGTCACACATTTTACATCACACCACTTTGGTTGCAAATCCACATGACTACCCCAACGGGTCATATTTTTCTGAGGTATCCCA